GGGGAGGCACAGTGGTGCAGCTCTCAGTGTTGCTGCCTCGCTGTGCTGGGGCCCGGGGTTCAGTTCTGGACCTGAGGTGCTGTCTGTGTGGAGTTTGCATGTTCTCCCAGTGTTTGCGTGGGTTTCCTCTGGGCTGTGTCCCGGGATGGACTGGCGTCCTGTCCAGGGCGAACCCCGCCTGGCGCCCGTTGCTTGCTGGGATAGACTCCAGCTCCCACATGACCCTTGAACTGGCAGACGTGCTCAGAAAATGGCTGGATGATGGACCCAGCAGCAAGCTTAACCGATCGGGAGGCAAGGGACGCACATGCTGTCAGGATTCCCGTCCGGCAGAGGAATGCTTCCGAATCCGGGCGAGAGCTCAGCTGCTCGCCCTGTCTCAGCCCCCCGGAGGCCGGGCCCCCCCCTCCTCCTGGGGGGGCCCTCTCAGATCCCCTGCTCAGCGGCTCCTGGTGACTGTTAGCCCCCACCAGCGCCAGCTGCTCCGGGCTGCAGCGGTTTGCGTTTTATTTTTAGCGAGCGGGACCGGAACCGAGACTAGTCTCCACCTGTATTCGCCGATCGACGGGCCTTCTGGATCGCCCAGGCCAGCCCTGCTCTCCGAGGTCACCCTAACCTGTTGTCCTGCGGTCCTGTGACCTGGGCCGGTGGGGGACCCCTATCCCGTTTCCCCTCGAAAGAGGACAGCGCGTCTTCTGGAGGGGAGGGGCAGGTGTCACGTGACTTGACCAGGACCGAAGAAAGACGCCAGGTCTCTGGGTTTGAAAATACTGTCTTGTTCCCCACTCTCACCACCCTTTGTGTAAAGGATGCTTATGCCAAAGCATCTCAAAGTCACTCCAGTTCAGACAGTCGAGCTAATTAGGCATGGAGCAAACTTTTCCCATCAACCCCGCCGCAGTCTGACGATCCTGAGCCGGGACTTGCCGTGTGTCGGCTCGGGACAGCACACCGGCCAGGCCAGGGGCCCGGGCTGCCCCCGTCCCGCCCCGCGCCCCCGGCCCCCCCGCCCGCGGCTCCGGGACGTTCAGGCAGTGTGGTGGGTCCCGGGTTTCTATGGAAACCACTTTGCTCGCTGGTGTCTAAATTATAGCTGCCGCAATTTTATTTTTAAACCCTGTCAGCAGCAAAAAAAAAACCCCGAGGTGGGTGTGTATTTGTCCAGATGAGAAACAGGAGGAGAAAGAGACGAGGAGGGGGGTGGGAGAGAGAGAGGGGGAGACGGTTCCCAGCTCCGCTGGACTGAGTTGGCTGGTGTTCAGATGTGCAGTTGGTGTGTGCGCGCTCGCTCACGCTAAATATAGACTATTGAATGTGCTCTTCCCCAGATCTGCTGCACGGCCCCGCCAGGCCCAGGAGAGCCGCGGCCCCGCGCGGTTTATAGGTCACGCTTAATCAGCGGTTTAGAGCCACCTGGAAGGTCAGGTCGATCAGCTGCACGGGCCTTCTGTCCTTTAGACTTGGAAGAGATAAGTTCCCGGACTTTCCTCCAGCGAGAGAAGTGTCGCTCATCTGCTCTGTCCTGTCGTGCGGAGTGTGACGCTAGCTCTTCATACTGGAGTGGGAGGGGTAAAGGTTGGAGGGCTACAGAGATCACAAGTCTCCTGTGATCTCCTGTGATCTCCAGTGATCTCCAGTGATCTCCTGTGATCTCCAGTGATCTCTGGTCTCCCTGACACGCCAGCCGAGAGTGTAACGGCGCTGTGTCAGGTGTCTTTCTCAGGGCCCCTGGACGCCACCGTGTAGGAAGTCCGGGGGCACCCCTGAGCCCGGCGTGGGCGGGACTGGTGCTGTCCCGGCGGGTCAGGCTCTCCGGGACAGGGGTGCGACCCAGGGCTCTCTCCCCCTGGCTCGGCAGACGGACGAGGCTCTTTCGCTGACTCACTCCTGCGCTGGTCCGCGGTGCCCAGTGTGCTGCCTATTTATAGGCCCTAATCTGTGTTATTATCAGCTGAGCTGTGGCGACCTTTTGATGGACGTGCCGTATGAAAGGGCAGGGGCCAGCGCTGGGCGGTGGATCGGGAAGAGAGGGGCGTCCCGGGGGATCTGATCCCGATGCCAGCGATCCCGGGATCCGCTGGAGCCGTGGTCTGAAGCCCAGGGTGGACACGGAGCCCGCGGGACACTGATGCTTCGCACCGGAGGTCGCTGGGCGTTGGAAGAACCTGGGAGAACTCGGCGCTGGGGCGGAGTGTCCCGGGACCGTCGAGAAACGTGCGGACCGGGCTGAACGGGCCCAGCTGGACTGCTGTTGGTTCTGATCTTCCTCTAGAAGCTGTTTCATTCTAAGGATCGCTCAGATGATGCTTAGCTGTAAAGGAACTTCTAGTGAAAATACAGACACTGTATACAAGCCCTATAGAGACCCCGAGACTGTAGACAAGCCCTATAGAGACCCCGAGACTGTAGACAAGCCCTATAGAGACCCCGAGACTGTATAGAAGAACTGTAGAGACCCCGAGACTGTATACAAGCCCTATAGAGACCCCGAGACTGTATACAAGCTCCATAGAGACCCCACGACTGTATACAAGAACTTTAGAGACCCTGAGACTGTAGACAAGCCCTATAGAGACCCTGATAGTGGATACAAGCCCTATAGAGACCCTGATAGTGGATACAAGCCCTATAGAGACCCTGATGCTTTATATAACCACCGTATAAAATCCTGACAGTGCAAACAAGCACCACAGCACTAGAGAATTGCATACAGATCATACTGACACCGTATATAAGCGTGTTTTAAAAGTACATATCTTTCATTGAGGAACAAAAGCCAAGAAGGATTTTTATAGCTCTGTGGAAGCCTATAAATATCCTCATCTTTCCACAAGATTTATTGTGTCAGTTAATGCCATTGTGTTGAGACTCTCAGGTAGAAACTCTTTTCTGCACAAGCTTTCATTTCAAACACAGAGCTGAGTCTCTTAATCTCACTCACACACACATGCACTGATACACCCTCACACACACACACACGCAGCCACGCGCCCGCACACACAGACGATGCTATTAATGAGCACCCCTCTCACTCCCACAGATGTACAATCCCCCCCAGCCCCCACTCCCACTCCCACCCCCCTCTGGGCTCGGTCACGGTGCGTCTCAGCCGCAGTACAGCTCAGCACAGCGTCTCGGAGCAGGAAGGGGCCTGCCGGTCACTCTGTGGCCACTGACCGGACACCAGCTGCCTGTCCGCTCCTGCAGGGGCCCTTCAAGGACACACGCAGGGTCAGCGTGACTGACCACCCTCCCGCTGGCCTTTCCTTCAGTGCCGGGGGTCAGTATCGGGGTGATTTTTCCAAGCTGTGAATCCCCTGTCCAGAGGGGAACCAGGGAAACAGCTCCGACCCGGTCTGCTCCACGGAGGGGCGGACACTTTGGCAGGGAGACGTCACTTCCCGATGGATCGTGCTGTCTCTCGTGACGCACAACAGCAGTGCCACTTCCTGGGGAGGCCCTCCGATGTCGTCCCCTGTTTCCGGGCCTTTAGGAGATCAGTGAGCTCCTCCTAGGAGGATTTCACACAGGGATGGGGGTTACGTACTACCAGAGCTCGTCGGGAAATAAAGCACCTTTCCATGCGAATCAGGGTCGTGAGGGGGTCAAGGGTCATGAGGGGGTCAAGGGTCATTGCAGGGTCTTGATTGCCGTGCCCAGCATGAGAGATCTCTGTGTTCAGGCCGAGATATCGTTTTGTGGGCTGAACTAGGTCCATCCATTCGGGAAAAGGCTGGAACGGTCGTCCTCGTGTTCTTAAGGAAATTCTGAGACTGCAGGATTGGGAAAGAGATGCTGGATTGGAATGAATATGGTGAGTGGGAGTGCAGAAGGATGCAGCTACAAACAAAGGCTTCTGTCTGTCTGCGATGTTAAACGGTGCTGCTGTTTGCGATAACGTGACA